CCTCCCCCGCTCATGCTCTGTCTCTCTCTGTGTCTCAAAAATAAGCATTTTCAAAAATAATAATAAATGGTACAAAATAAATTGAAGCCTCACCTCTTATAACCTAAAAACAGGTAAGTGACAGATTAAAGCTCTGAAACAGGAAAGTATTGAAAATATTCAATAGGTAACTAATACCGGGTAGGAATAATCAGGATGAAGGTGGGGGGGGAGGGTGGGGAGGGGAGGAGAGAAGAAAGCAAAAACAAAACAAAAAAAGAATGATGTCATAATTAACTTTTCTACCTTCTAGGGAGATGGACCAGTTTAAATCTCCTTGGTGAGCTGTTCTAACTCGACGGCAGTTGGGACGTTACACTAAACTCATTCTTCTTTCTGGGGTTGGCACTCCCCATCTGCTTCCCTGACAAAGTTTAGGGACAGCGGAACTATCCTTTCCACTTTCCAAGACAGCTTAGCTCACGGCTTAGCTCAACTTAGATGTTTATGCTATTTTCAAATAAAAAATAGTTTGGCCACTTCAGCGAGGTTTCCAAATCTTTCAAATTAGCTTCCTTTTAGAATTGAAGAACAGGTTCAAAGCAAATTTTTCATGATTTTTCTTTTCTAGTGAAAGATATGTAAAGTCACATGTACTGCCACACTGCTTCTTTGTATATAGAGCTGTTTATATCTCTGGAAGTTTTACATAATTCATAGGAGAGGAGCCCATTAAAAATGAGAAACTAAGACCAGTTTTTGTTTTCAAGATTTATGAGGAAAACAGAATGACTGATGTATTCTACATAATTTTATTTAGTGTCTTTTTGGCTAACATATTTGAATCACCTGTGTCTAGTCTTTGACTTTTCTTATGTATATTAAATTAAATCATAATTCAGAGGTAATATAACAAAGATTGTGTGTGTTTGGGAAGGAGGGGGAAAGACTGAATGAATACTACACTTTCTTCATCTTTTCTGCAAATGGCTTCTTTTGATCCAACAAAAAACAATGTTTTAGAAAAGCTGACTTGGGTAATAATTTTGTCAGCGTATGACCAGGATGAAGGTAATAGGTATTATTAATTCTATGTGTTATATTACGAGATTAACTTTGGTTTTATGAATCAGGCACCATCAGTCAAATCCATTCTGTTGATTTGATCTCCACCACACCAGCTTGGGAATCCTGGGAAAGTTATTTCTTAAGTCTCAGTTTCCCCAGCTGCAAAAGCACTGCTGAAAGGCAACCAACCATCCAAGAAATTTGGAAGCTCCCCCAGGGTGAAACAAGGAGGCCTGTGGGATTGTCAACATGACTGATGTACAGTAAAAAGCGTCTCAGAAGAGGTACAACCAGAGTCTCACTTCTGTACCTGCCAGGCTCTTAGGCTACACTATGTAGGATAGGCACACTGAACCTAGGTTTGCCACAGTCATCAGTAAAGCAATTAACAATTTCCCACTCAGCGTTGGCCATAGGGCACTGGAGACATGGAGTTTACATACTCTGATTTTGCCCTCACTACAGTGAGAACTCTGAGATCAGAGACCACATCTTGTACTATTTATAGGCAGAAGGAAGAAAGGCGAGCAGATAGGCACTTAAGATCCTACACCGAGGGTGCCTGGGTGGCTCAGCTGGGTAAGCGTCTGACTCTTGATTTCAGCTCAGGTCATGATCTCACGGTTTGTGAGTTCGAGTCCCACATCAGGCTCTGCGCTGACAGTGTGGAGTCTGCTTGGGTTTCTCTCTCTCTCCCTCTCTCTTTGCCCCCGGCATATGCGTTCTCTCTCTCAAAGTAAATAAGCTTTAAGATCACACACACACACACACACAGTTTCAAGTAGGTGTAGAACACTGGTTCTCAAATTTGATTGTCAGAATCACTTAAAAAATGTCCTGAAATTACAATTCCCAAGCCCCAGCCTATACCTACTGCATCTGAAAATCTAGGCATACGGCATAAAAGCCTATATTTTGTCTATTACTGAGTGTTAAAAGTCTTTCAGGTGATGCTAAAAACCAGCCAGTTTGAGCAACCGTTGACTTAGACAGACTACAGACTGACAGGCACCAAGGATGAAAATGAGTCAGACCCTATTACAGCCCACCAGGAACTCACCCTCTAATGATTAATGTTAATACAGTGTAGTACATACTAAATCCTATAAAGGGTGACATAGGTAATTATGGTCCAGAGGTTCAGAGACATCAGGCCATTAGGACTGATTCCCCTACCCAAGTTATTTGGTGAGGAAATAAGAATGTAAAGGGGTACCTTAGGGGGTTCAGTTGCTTAAGCATCTGACTCCTGATTTTGGCTCATATCATGATTATCATGGTCCTGGGATCCAGCCTCTCTTGTGTTGTTGGGCTCTGTGCTGAGTGGGGGGCCTGCCTGAGATTCTCTCTCCCTCTTCCTCTGCCCCTCCCCTGCTCAAGCTTGCTTGTGGGGGAGCATGCATGTGCACGCTTTCTCTCAAAAAAAAAAATGTAGGGGCGCCTGGGTGACTCAGTCGGTTAAGCATCCAACTTCAGC